GAGGATGCTCAATGCCCCAGGGTTACAGTTGGTTGGGAGCTGACTGATGTAGGTGCTGGGAACCTAACCTGAATTTTCTGGAAGAGCAACTGTTTACCTGCGGAGCCATCTTTCCAGTCCCAGTAATGATTTTTTTTTTAAAGCCACACTCCTGCAAGCAGATTGACTGGCCATTTCATGGCCCTGGATAGTGTCTTCTGATTGCTTCTCTAGAAATATCAGGGTAGTCACCCCACCACCTGATGTGTCCTGCAGGACATTTTAATGTTTGTTTGTTACCGAGTAAGCACTTTTTCATATTTGAGTTGGGTAACTGTATTGATTACTTGACAACTACATGTTCATGTGAACAGACTTTCTCCTCAACTCAACTTTTTATCTTTAATAATTGGTGGCACTTCTGCCTATATGTGGGCTATGCCTGTTCATGTGTAGTCTAGGAAAGGTATCATATTGCCATAAACACAATATGTTCTGCCACTTTCTTCATTTCTAAGATTACATATGAAATACATTATTTTATATAACTCTTGTAATCTACTTTAAATCTGAACATTTTGATGCTTCAAATGTAAAGTTGGATACAAAATTGTAAGTTGTTGCACATCAAATATTCCCTAGATTCCCCTTATACAGTAAAAATAAAGACTTTGATCACTGTAGGCCTGCACTAAAGTAAAACATTATAGAATGCATTTAGTTGACTATTAACAGGTCCTCTCACACTGTTAAAAACTACTTGTGAAACTGTCCTTGGTCACGGAGCAAGATGTGTCATAAATGCCGAGTAAGACATTCCACTTTTTTTTTTTGTATAAAATGTTATTTCTATATTTTCTGCCTACTGTACAAATGGAAAAATGTGCAAAACCTACCCAGTATTTCTACAAGAACTTTCGATGAATATTGACTATATCATGGACTTCGGTACATATCATTTCTGACAGTAATTTAAATGGGAAACAAATAAAGGCTAGGCTCTTCTTTCCCATATCACCATTTTTTGCCTGACGCCTGCATCAATTCTTCCTTAAGCATTCTCTTCATTCTAATTTGCCTGGTGGCCCCTAATTCTTGTTATCATTCATGCTTGTAGCACGTTTCTGTCATTTCTGGAAAAGTATTGTGAACTACAGAGCTTATGCGATTTCTTACCACTTGTATGTCATTCTTAATACACACAGGATGGCTTGCATTCATTTGTAATCATTGTTATTCAACAAAATACCTGTAAGAGGGTTATTATAATAGCCACCATTTTGCCCACGAGGAAACTGAGACCCAGAAAGGTTAAGTGACTTACCCAAAGGCATAGAGTGAGCTGATGGCAGAGGCAGGGCTGTAAGCGAGAATCCTCAGAGGGAGCCTATTGTTCAGCACACCCAGCAACAGGGCCTCCCGGCTGTATGCCTTTCTTCCACACATCCAATTTTATTATCCCTTTACTACACAAACAATTCTTTAAGAACTTGTGTCATGCTTCTAATGCAAGGTTAGAATAATAATTTATTTTGTTGGGTTGTCCCTTCTTTTTAAAATGCACCATTCCAAACACTTGGAAATGGAAACAGAGAAGTCATTCAGGCTTTTCCATGGAACAACTGAATGGAATCATTGAAGAATCCAAATGTGGGTCTTGTCTCTTCCCTTAGGGACTGGGCAGTGGTGAAGGAGATCCATACATTTTCTCATCTCATGCACCTTTAAATAGTGAGAGATGAAGGAGAGAAACTAATAATTAGAAGGAAGTGCTCTGGCTTAAAAGGGTTTTTGCTTTCTTTTTCTATTTCTACGCATGTGAGGTTTACATGTATGTATATCCATGTTTTCATGTATGGGGGCGTGTGTGTGTGTGTGTGTGTGTGTGTGTGTGTAGTGTGTGTGTGGTGCATGTAAATGTGTGTGCACATGCCTGGAAAGGCCTGAGGTTGATGTCACTAATCCTGCTGGCTGACTTTTCTACTTTATCCATTGAGGCAGGACCTCTCAATCAAACCCAGCACTCTCTGATGTGGCTACTCTGGTTTTTATGATTGTCAATTCTGAGGATTAGTGCTGCTTCTCATAGACACATAGTAAAGTATGGCAGAGGCATGCTTTGGGTCATTTTGGAAATTCTGTCCCAATCCAAAGCCAAAATTCATTGATTTTTATTTTGATGCAACACAAGCCAATAGCTCAAGCAGTAATTTTAAAAATCAAACATTCTAACACAATACAGCCCAAAGACGTACTAATGTGATATGCATGCTGAGGAATGATAGTAGAAACGTATTGAAAATCTGTTTTCCATAATTGAACCATCATATCTATACAAGAGTTGAAAATTCTGTATGTACAGGAAAACACTCCAATTTGTAGCATATAATAATCTGGCCGCTGAGCCCAGGTGTTTCAGGCAGCTATTGTGGGTGCTGAGTGGAGCGCTGGCGTGTATGGTGCAAAGTATGCCCAACTGTGTGTTCTACACCAAGGTTTCGGTGCAGCTGAACACTGCCAGACACATTTCAGATTCATTTTGCGTTTGCTTTTTGAATGAAGTTTAAGTTTGTATATGTTCGAGAACTCTTTCCTGTTGCCAGAATATTCATGAACCCCCCACCCCTCAGTTACAGTCTATGGGGTTATGACCTTCATCTTCAGCAGCTGAAGTTTAGAGTGTGTGGGGACATTTATTCCCATTTATCCTTCAAGTTTATATGGCTCTCCAACTTTTCCTTAATCAATTTCAAGTAATAACAAATATAACAAAACAATATTATAAGAATTGTCAGAGAAAAGGACTTTTCAGCTACAAATGGTGAACAAACAGAACGGGACAAGCCTTGCAATGTTCTTTTATGGTGCATAGAGCGCTGTTTTAAGTATAAGCTTTTTGGAGTAATTAGGGAATTCGGCATTTGGGCATATTTCTGGAAATTAATTCCATCTTCATATAAGATAATGGGCTAGCACGTGAACATTACTACCTTGAGTTCCAGCTCTCCCCTTGTTTCCATCATAAAGACATTTTGTGTTTGCAGTGGGTGTCTTCCTTGGAACACTTACTGTTCATGAGTCGCTCCTCCATTTGAAAGAGACTTTTGTCTTCTCTTCCTGTTCAAATAATGGGGACATTAAGATTTTTCATAGGAATCATTGGAAAGAACATGAAGGAGACCATGAAGGATGTGAACAAAGTTGGCATTCAGTTAAATTTAAAGCCCTAATTTAGAACATATACCACATTCTTTTTAGCCTCCAAATGGTTTTTCAGTAACTCTTTGGTCCAAGAAGTTATCAATTATTACCCACCCTCAGGAAACAAGTTATGTGTTCAGAGGTAATCAGATTAACAGGGAACTTGATCCAACTTACCTTAGGAATAATCTTTCTTCTCAGACGTTCAAGAATATCAGCCTAAGCACTGATCTAATTTTGTGGGTCTGTACAGAGTCCTAAGCCGAATTCCCATCTGAGGTTACTGATACCTCTGCTTTCTTTTCCTCTTATTTCAAGGTGCACCCCTCCTTAGTAGGAAAAGTCAGAGAGGAGATTTACCCTAGCTCAGACAACTGTAGGGAGAGTTAATCAAATAAACATAAAGCCCTCAGTTTACCCTGCTGAATCCTTTCTATGACAGGGTACTACTCCATTTCCGTGATATCAGTGGGGTTCCTTCTGCCCTTTTTTTTTTTTTTTTTAACAAATCCTTCAAACTACTTGTTGTCTCCTTTCCCTGGTTATTTTGTGATCTTGTGCTCAATTCCCTCCAAAGAAGCCAAGAGCCTTGCTGGTGAACATCCTTCCCTTCCTCAGTTAAGGTAGGGTTGACGAGAAGCAGGAAGATCAGTGGATCATCCTGGCATGTTTGCCCCTGCCCATTTCTTCTGGTTTCTCTGCTTCCAGCTGCTGGGGTTGGGGTGTCCTCACTAAGCTGAGACCTATGCATCCTCCTTAGGCTTCCTGAGGGATCCCTGTGGAGCACTAGCATGGAGAGTCTTTGCTGACACTAGATTTCTTCTCATTCTCAGCCAAATGAGAATTTGTGCATACTTTGAGATTAGCTTTATAAACAGAGAACATCCAGGCTGGTGGTGTCAAGTGCTCCCTAATGGTGGCATGTCTTCTCACTGAAGGGGGTTCATCATCTGTCCTGTCCCGAGCAGAGTGTTCACTCTGATCGCCAAAAGAGTTAGGTAGGCAGCTCCAGAGGAGCAACCAACTCTTCAGATTCCTTGAATTCAAACTCTTGAGTTTGGGGAGCATGTGATCTTCCAAAGAGTTTTAGCAGCCCATGAGCCCATGCCTGCTTAACCTCCCAAGTTGTGCTATTAAAACCAGGTATCTGGCTGTGGCACTGGTGTTATTTGGGCATAAAAACTTTCAGCTTGGACCTGGTGGTGGTGGCACATGTCTTTAATCCCAGCAATCTGGAGGCAGAGGCAGGTGGATCTCTGAGTTCAGGGCCAGCTTGGTCTAAAGAGCAAGTTCTAGGACAGCCAGGGCTACACAGAGAAACTCTGTCTCGGAAAACCAAAAATAAATAAATATAAAAAATTTCAGGTAAAACTCACGAAGTTTTCATATAAATTCTCCCCTTTTCCCTTATCCCTAATCTTCCTCCCTTTGGCCAAGGGGGGGGAGGGGAGGCTATATCAATATTAAATAAAATCAGAAAGAGCAACCTTGTGCATTTAATTTTTTGAAACGAAAACCAAAAAACCATTGCTTCTCTTAGGATACTGTTCCGGCGGTTTCAAAGGGTGCTTTGATTGATAACGTGTGTCTACCCTCAGGAGAGACATCACTTCTGTCATTTTCTCCTCTTGTTCCAGACTGACAGGATCTGGACTAAAACATATTTTAAAAGGAAAAAAAAAAAAAAAAGAAATCAAGAAGGAAGAAAGAAGATTTCTGGGAGAGAGCGCTTCTCCAGGCTGGGCTTCTCTTCTCTCCAGGGCAGGGCGGGGCAGGGCGGGGCGGGGCTGCACCCCCTCCCCCCCAGGCAAATGCGACCCTCCACCCCGGGCCCTTGGGGCTCCCTGGTTCCCGCCGGCCGCCCTATTCATTCTGCGCATCTCGGGAGCCAAGCTCGGCTTCCCTCCAGGGATCACCCTTGGACCTTGCTATTGTCCCTGTCGCCTGACTTCTGCTATGCTAAGTTCCAGCAAGGTGATCTGGAAAAAAAACGATACTGGCTCCCAGGCCGCGATTCGCCTTTTCTGCGGGGACCTCGGGACGCAGGCATCGGCGCATTGTGCTGGACGCGCTGACCCGGTCGCCTGCGCCCCGCCGGGACAATTGTTCCCTCATTAGGGCGGCCTGGAGCTGCGGAAAGGCTGGCGGCCCTTTCCCACAATCACTGACAATGTGCGGCAGCAGACGTGTCGCAGAGGCGGGTGAGGAGAAATGGAGAGGATGTGCCCGGGATGGGACTCCCGGGACGTTTCATTCCCACGCTGGAGAGGGGACTCAAAGTCCTCACCGCCACAAGTTGACGAGGGACGCCTTAGAAATAGATCGGGAGGGTTGGCGGGCGGGAGGAGGGGTGCGGGGGAGAACCCACAAAGCCCCACAGACAGCTCCACGAGGAGTTCCAGAGAACCAGAGACCTCGGGTGCGGCTGTGCACATGCACCAATTGTCCGGTGCAAAGAGGCTGAACTCTGCCCTGTGGGAGCTGGGAGGGTGGCCCCGGGGCCACCGGCTGGCGGGCAGCTGCGAGCCAGTCCCAGGCGAGACACTTGTAAATGATCCTTTAAAAGGAGGCGTTCCTGGGAGCGCAGCTGTCTGTTCCCAGTCTGCTTCTGCCACCAGCTATCTGCCTCCTGCCCTGGCCTTCTAGGGCCCTAGTGTGGCCCTAGTGTGGCTCTAGTGTGGCCCTAGTGTGCGCCTGCCTTATCTAGACGGAGCAGTCCCAAAGTCACACTCTTCCACATGCTCACTTATCCTCCTCTAGGTCAGGGCAGTGAGGACACTCACTGGGCCAGACAGCCTTTCTGTCTCACCCCCCACCTACCCAGGCCAGTTCCATTGAAAGAGCCTTCTCTAACACTCAAAGAGTACAACTTCAGAGAGACTGAGCTCAGGCTCAAGGGGGAAAGGACAAAGGCAGCTAGCTGTCCCTGCTCTTAGATGTATACAAAAGGCTGTTGCCGAATCCTAGTCTGTGAAACCCCATTTGAGTTGTAACGCAATACCCGCCCACAAGGCTTGCATGGGAAGTGAGTTTGGCAGCAGGGGTGAAGTGGGGATAGTTCTCTGTATTTTATAAACATCAGCAACTCCTCTTATGTGAGAATGTGAAAATGTGTAACAGTTTTCTTTTGCATTAAAATAAAAAAAAAAAAAACTAGGTTTCTGTTTGGGGAAGCAATGGCATTTGGCAACCGATGATTTAAAATTAGGCACCCTAATGAACACTTGTTTCAAGAGGACAATGTAAACACACATTTCACCTTAAAAATCTCCCCCCAAACAATGCTTATTTGCTTCTTTAGTAGACTATAAAGATCGAACTGGGGGCGCGCCGGGGGGGAGGGGGTTGTGTGGCGCAGAGACGACCCTATTCCAAGATGTTGTTTGTGTGAAATACTAAAAAATATTAATTGTTTATATTTTGGTTACATAAAAATTTCTAAGTACTTAGAATTGCTGTTATGGAAGAACGACGCATCATTTTCGGCTCACAAAATAATGCAAATTGTGTTTTTTGTTTTTTGTTTTTCTTTCAAAACCCACCAAGTACCTAGGGTGGTACATTCTTCTGGTTCTGATCTTGTCTGGGCTGCCAAATGGGGCTTTCATTCATCCGCCTTTATTAGAAACAAGAGCTGAGGTGGTCAGCGAATCAAACGCAGGTGAGGCTTTCGTTCAGTTATGGGCTTTCTGCACACCTCTCGGGTTTTTAATTAGATAGCTTCCTACTGGCTGTTTGTCTTAAAATCAAAAGTGTGAAGCACCTCCTTTTCAGAAATATGGTTGTCTCAATTCAAGGTTCATTATGTTTGCTATTTTGAAGTTTGTGATGACTGGGTTTTGGTGATGTGGGGAAGAGTTCTAATTTCTGGCTTTCTTGGAGTCTGTTAAATTCCCGGCCTAGTAAATCTGCACTTGATCTAGGCCCAAACATATTCTGATTGTAAATAAAACGTCCTCTTTCATGACGACGTTCACCGTGCGGCTGGAGCAGTGTAATTTTTATACAGGTCTCGGCAATCAATAAAAAAGCCACGGGAGGAATGATTTATCTTGTTGGGTACAGAGACTGTCACCGAGAGAAATTGTAAAAGATCAATTTACACAACCTGGTGTGAGAATGTTATTGATATAACATGGTTGATCGGGTTCTGGTCCTCTGCGAGCAGACGTTGAGAAGGGAGCACCAGGCATCCATAGGCCGGCCAGTCAAGGTCTTAATAGACGCTGTGCTTCATAAAGTGGACACAGCCAATGACCACAGAGGTGGCAGGCAGGCTGGCACCCACATTGGCTGCGCTCTGATTACTTCCTTAAGTGGTTGGAGTCAAACGTCCTCCTTTTTTTTTTTACGCCCCCCCTTCCCCCACTGTGAGAACTGTTCAGTTGGAGACTCCCTGCCTTAATTACAAAGAGCCCCTTTAACCATAGGTCGCACAACTTGGCTCTCTCCACAGGAAATTAGGAAAGGAGCCTTCCTGGAAAAAAAAAAAGAAGCCAAACTTCCACCTTCTCAAATTAGTTAAATGAAGGTTATGGACAGTTGGGAGCTGAACCGTCTACAGTTGGCTAATTGCAGTTGGTACATTAACTATGTTTAACCAGTGCTGTTTGGGATTTAAGTGAACAAAACAATAAATAAAGCTTAGGTTATTCCAATGAAATACTTAAGTCCAAATCTTACCAGAAATGCTATAATACAAAGCAGAGTTTTACACTATAACCTTTTAGTTGAAGATATTGATAAATGTTAAGATTTTTAAAACCACATTGAAGCAATCTTAAACCTGAGACAGGCATCCCTTTCTCAAGTGCCTGTCCCATGCTTTGGCTCTCCCTTTAAAATGTTCTCCTCTGTATTTGGAAGCTGCGGGAAGTACGTGGAGTCGTCTGTGCACAGCATTCTCGAACACAGAAGTTTTCCAAATGAAGACAGACCTTTAGCTGAATTGGTTTATTTTCTGATTCATAATTCTTTAATGTGATTACCGAAGACGGAATGGCATCTACAGTGAAATTACAGCAACAACCACCCCCTCCCCTACCAGCTACTCCGGTAGCTTCCTTAATCAAAAGATTCCCACACTAAAGCAAAATAAGGAAACACAACTGCAGTGCAGACAAACACACATGCCTTTATATTTAAATTATTATCTACACCACCGCAGAGCTGCAGAATGAAGCTGGAATGTGGCCTAGAATACAGGACCAACGAAGCTGTGAAAGATGAGGAACGTTCGGCTTATACTCAGACCTGTTGTTTTAGAAATCATCTCTTGCACTGTTTTGCTTTCTAAAAAATTCCATGTTTTCTTGTATGTAGATGTCTATATGCTGTTTTATATTTGAAATTTGCATTTTACACACATACACACAGACATGCACACACACACACATTTCTCTTGGAAAATGGGTGACCCTTAAGCTTTCTGAACACCTCTTTTTGCCAGGTAAGAACCAATTATTTTTGTGCATTGCAGTTAGATAAAATTTGAATTGTAAGCATCCAATGTTTATTTGCTTTTGTTTAAAGAGGGTGAATAAATATATGACTTTTATATTTTGGTATATTAAGTTCCTTAATAGCTCTCACTGCCTTTATATTAGCCACAGCTGGTCCTCAAATCTCTTGCTACATCCATTATAACCTGGGCATACATAAAACAACTGATCTCAAGATGTGCTTCACTTTCCCTATGGCCCAAGCTCGCTCCATGCACACAGCTCTTCCTGTATGGGAGCTGCCTGGAATCTGGCAGCAGACAGCTCAGTTCTTCCTATAATATCTGCATGTCAGCACTCCCAGGGCAGAGCTAGTGAGGAGGCTTCAGCACCTGTAGAGCATGTTCCCTCCAGATGAGAAAAATCATTTCTCAGTTTCCTCACATCTGGATGAGACATGCCTGCTCACATCATGTCTTCAGCCCATGTCTCTCTTTCTTTCAAATGCAGTTTCTATTGCCTGCCAATCTCCTGATGGCTGCAGGCCCCATAATGCTCTAGTACTGCCTGTTCTCTGCCCCGGTGCTTCCCAGCCTCATCCTCCCACTTCCATCCTCCTAACCAGATCAGCCCCTCCCTAGCATCCTACAGATCCCAGTTAAATGCAATTTCCTGCTTTTGATAAGTAGACTCTATCCAGCCAGAACAAAACAGAGCACTCTGATACGATTGTCTCACGGCCAAGGACATGGGTAACTCCCACCCTTCAAGTCTCCCTTCCTTTCAGCTAAGCAGGAAATGCAATATCTGATGTTCATTCCTGTATTTTTTCTTCATACTCTCCAGAATCTTAGGGACAGTGTCCACCCATGTAAATCAGCCTCCAATGGAAGCCAAGACCCCTAGCATGGGGCCATTTTGGACAATTCCACCCACTCTGTTAATTCGAACATTAATAGACATTGTTGGTCTCGAAAAAAAGGGTCAATAATCAGAAAGGCTCTAGCTCAAATGTTTAAAAATTTATTTTCATATGGGACACGACCTTCTACTAGAGTGTGCCTTATCTCTAGGGTGTCCAATTATCTAGAAGCATAGTCTGTCTCTTGCCAAATGATTTTTCCTGCAGCAACCCCTCCCGGAACACTTTAGACTCTTATTTGATAATCATTAACACCATTGGTTTGCCTCTGCTTTTCACAGTGTAGTTGAAGTAGATACCCCTGAATAAAGTCTCTGGTTACTTTGTAATAGCAAGGTAGATGGAGGGAGCTAAAAAAATTAACCAACATGCTTCTTCTATACCGGGGATGGCCTCATCACCCTAAAAGGAGTAAGGGGAAGGCATAGTACACACTTTCCTCCGAAGGTGCTTGGGATTTGGTTGGTGGGAGACCACGCTTATGACTAAAGAGTAAACAGGAAACTGGACTAAACTGACAAGGCATATTGCAGTGAAGTATGACATCATTAAAGGCTGCGATTATGTGGGGGAAAATCAGGAAGAAATTATTTGGTTGAAAGAAAAGAATAGAGAGTATTGATGATGAAGAGAGGGTGCAGGAGATGCTGTAGAGGCCGGAAAAGACTACCGCAGTCATGAGACAGAGTGATAAACTGGTTGGCAAAGGAAAACTGGTCAGAAAAACAGAATGTTGGCTTGTGGACTGTATTGATAGGTATACAAGATGTCTAATAAATGTTCTGTTGTCGAGCAAGCAAGCGTGAATTTGAGGCAGTAGAACGGGAACCGACAAGCACTCTGGGCAGCAGCTTGACATAATGCACAAAATCGTGTTGTGACATCACTAAAAAAGCAGACTTGTAGCCTTCTGGGGTGTGTGGCAGGGCAGGGACAAGGAGGCACAGAAGGCAATGGTTTATGACTGTAGGTGACAGATAAAGGGGGGCTGGATTAGCATGCCCATGAAAGTGAGAAAGTGAACGTTTTTAGAAATTTCAGAAATAGATAGATACTGGCAGTCAGTGGGCAGTACGTACAGCATTGACGTTAGAGGAATGTGACTTCTGGGGATGAGCGATGAGTCAAAGGCAGTCCCAGCCAGGAGACTAGCATCACAGTGGGATTACTGCAGAAGCAGACTTCCTGAATTGATTACAGGATACGTGCACACTTTGAAGGGGCATCAAGGGAGGGCAGTGTAGACATTTCAAGTGAAAATATCCAACAAGAAATTAGACATTGCCAGGGCCTTGTGGCTCTAGCTTGTAATCTCAGCTACTCCAGAAGTCAAGGCAGGGGATTCACAAGGTCAAGGATCTGTCTGCACTATGGAGGGAGTTTGAAACCAGCCTGGATGACTTAGCCAGTCTCTGTCTCAAAATAAAACGTGGACAAAACAATGGGTTAAGGATGTATATCAATGACAGAGCACCTTCCTAACACACACAGGCCTTAGGTCCAGTCCCCAGTGCAGCAAAGCAAAACACCCAAAGAGTTGAACAATGATGCACTAGACTTTGGTTGAAAAAGGACCTTACAGGGCTGTGGCGATGTCATATTGATTGATAAAACCAGGTAGCCTTGCATGGAAGCCATAGTCAGGATCATTTAATCGAGGTTTGCAAAAGAATGTGATACATTCAGTCACATTACTTATTCTTTTTAGTTATAAAAGTAGAATATGCAGATCAAAGTGACATAGAAATAGCACACAATATAATGTATGCAATTTAAAACGAGTGAAAGGAGTTTTTAGACTAAATTGAGCTGTCTCATGTTTTTTAGAGTAAGGAACTCATCTCATTCTAGCAATTTTTTTTGATGAATCTTAAAGATGTACGAATTGAGCAAGATGAAAATCACCGCAGCTTTTCTTACTAGACACAGAGCTGTGTGTTGAGGGCGTTCCACACTGACTCATGCTTCATAACCTGGACAGAGGAAAAAAAATCTCAGGAAGAAGGAGTTGTTGAGTGGCTGATGGCTATAATGTAAGCGGGTCAGTGATTAGTCTGCCAAATTCAGGCACGTAGCCAGGCAGCACGGTGCTGGTCAAGGGCTGGCTTGTCTGGGAAAGCTGTGATGGTTTCTCAAACCATACTTTAAATTTGATCTTTGTCCAACCAAATTGGCACCAGGAAACATAGAAATCATTTATTTGACAGTGTAATGACAATCAATTATTAGCAATATTGTTGGATTAGGAAAAGACTATCTCATGCAAAGAATGATTTAATCTTAATTCAAACAGTTATCCCTTGAGATAGAAAAAAAAATTGTAATGGTTGAATAAATTGAGAAATAAACAAGGATTAAACTATTGAAGGCCAAATGCCTAGATTTGTTAGTATGTTTCGTTCTCTCCTGTTTTGATATGGTCTTGGATGACAGAATGCTGACTGATTTACGAATTAAAGTTGAAGTTGTACTAGATATGCCCTACTGTGCATACACAGATGCATGGATGAAGAATACAAGGAGAGAAACATATATTTGTGATAGCATATTAGGTATACTATTAGGACTCATTAGAATTTCTATGACACAATAGATTATTACATCCAGCCTTCTGAGATTTGTGGAATCTTCTCCCATATTACTAAGCCTCGACCTTATTATGTTAAGTTTGAGAAAGCTAGATTGCTCAGATATATTAAAAAAAAATAACATGAAATACCAAACAAAGAATGTCAGTGCCTTCAAAGAGAAAGAACACTGATACATGGATCCCACAGAATAAACTACTCGTACCCAATACAAGTTATTAGTAAACAGAGAAGAAGACATTGTACCAACCTAAGAGTCAGTTGAGAGAAACCAGTCCTTGTGAACATCTAGTAACATTTGTTTTTGGAGTCAATGACAATTGCAAAATCCATTGATACTGTTGAACCTAGATGAGGCAACAACACAGAGCTAACAGAGAACAAGAGAAAGGGCCGGGGAGATGGTTCAAATGGTATCAGTAACCATGCTTGCTGCCAAGCTTGATGGCCTGAGTTTGATGTCTTGGACGCACATTGTAGAAGGAAAGTGCCGGCTGTTGTAAGTTGTTCTTTGACCTTCACATGTATGCCATGCCATGGATGCTATCATACACAGAAAGACACATAGACATGTAGACAGACTCCTCCCCACCTAGGAATGAATTGAATAAATAATACATATAGTAAAAAGAAGAAAAATCAGCTAAAACACTATGTAACACTTATTATTTTGGACAGAGTAGTATTGGATCAAGAAAGTCTGCTCATTATTGGGTTCACTGATTTGTAGCATCATATTCTAGTGGCTTTGGTATTGTTTTCAATTATTATTGTAGTAAAGTATGCATAACTCCATCTAATAAGAGCACACTTCAGTGTCATTCACATTGTACATTCATGCTGTTACACAAGATCTCTGGTATCTATCTCCAGAACTATTTCACATTTCCAAATTGAAACTTGGTGTTCATTAAACACTAACTTCCCATTCCCCTTTCTCTGGCCTTTGATTTTGCCATTTTACTTTCTATCTCTATGAATTTGGCTACTCTAACTATATAAATGGAATATTGCATATAATATATGTACTTTTCTTGTAACTGGCTTAATTAACTCAATATAGTGTCTTAAAGGATCATTGAAAATGAAAATGTGACAGAATTTCATTTTTTCAAGATGTATAATATTCCAGATATGTTACATATATATATATGTGTATATACATTTAGGTTGCTTCCATCTTTGGCTGTTGTAAATAATGTTGCCATGAGCGTGGATATCCAAATACACACAAAGATCCCACTTTTGACCATTCTGGACATATACCTAGAAGTAAGATTTTGGAAATTAGGTTTTGAGCAACTGCCATATTGCTGTCCTGTGTTTATGTGATTTTTTACCTGCTTATCAGCAGTACATAGAGGTCTAATTTTCCCATAACCTCATAGCATTTGCTTTTGTCCTGTTTTCCTGGAAGCAATCCTAGTTGGTGAGGGTACTGGTTCTTTCTTTACGTAATTGTTTTTCAGTGAGATGGAACCTAAGATCTCACACATGCCCAGCAAGTGCTCTAGAACTGACCTACATCCCCAGTCCATGGCACTGCTCTGTAAGGATCCTCTTTTTGGTGTATTGAAAGGTACACATAATTAAGTCTCAGCCAATCAGCTCATAAAGATAAAATGTAAATGTATATTGCGCAAGCACAAGCCCCTGAGAAGCCGTGATTCCTTTCTTTGCAAGAGAGAGGAATGTAAGCATGCCATCCTTTTAATCATCATTTGTTGTGCACAGAATAAAAAGCCTGGAGACAGGATTCCTGACTGTGTCAAAGACACTAATAGACCAACTTCTCAAGGCCTTTCTAATTTCAGACTTCTCTGAGTGGATTTTTTTTTTCTCCAGGGAAACACTATTTATTATGATGGACAGTTGCATTGCCTGTTACTCCATGAACTCTTCTGTTCTCAGATGTTGAGGGATGCACACACTCTCCTCCTTCACTATTTTTCTTCTCACTTTTCAAATCCCTTGCCATCTTCATATTTGGTAGACGGACACAAAGGTTACTTCTTGGAGTTGGAGAGATAGTTCAGTGATTAAGAGCACTCGTTGCTCTTCCAGAGGACCCAAGTTCAGTTCCTAGCACTCACAATGAGCTTCCTACAACAGCCTATAGTCCAAGTTCCAGGGTATTTGATGCCCTCTTCTGGCCTCTGAAGGCACCTTCACACAGGTGGCACACACACACACACACACACACACACACACACACACACACACACACACACTACAAATGAAAATAAATGTAAGAGAGAAGTCACTTCTACACCTGTGGCCCTTTTGCATCATTTCATACCAGTTTCACATTCCCATTCAGTCACGTGGCTTTGCAGTCAAGCAAACTGCTCAGGCCTCTGTCAGCTACCATGTATGTTACCACATCAAGATAAGAGCATCTTTCCCATATCTGCACACATATTTTTATCCAGGGGGTCCAGACACTCTGATGGTGCACTGTCACTGTTGTGTGAGCAATGAACACAGGCTAATCGGTAGAGAGCATGCTATCCTGTTCCATGACATGATTGGCAAGAGGCTGTTGGACAGGATGGGTTCAGGTCCCTTCGCTTGTGAAGCAAACTCTTCCTTGATTGAATCATTTCTTCAGTCCTGAATTCTGGGGAGTTTTAATTTTTCTCAACCGGCCGTGGGTTATTGGGTGAGACTTTGAGTAAGCACCATTTACTTCTGATGTTTGAGTCAGGACAAGGTTTTCAACAAGGATATTTTTAACCATCTGTTCTACACCAAGGGTGAAATAGGCTCCTAGTAAGCATGACAAAAGATCCTATCTAATCACTTGCCTTCCTAAGATCATGGGGTATACAGTGATACCCAAAGGCATGGGAGGCTGGCAAGGTGTGCTAGCATGGCACCGTGTGCTTTTGAAGACAGCATTTATAATAACAATGGTAAAATCCCGTGAAGCCCCCACGGGACTGGACTAGGCCCTCTGGATACGGAAGACAGTTGTTTGGCTCCAACTGTTTGGGGAGCACCCAGGTAGGGGGATCGGGATCCGTCCCTGGTGCACGGGGCAGGATTTTGGGAATCGGGTGCCTGTGGTGTGGCACCTTAAGCAGCCTTGGTGCAGTGGGAAGGGGCTTGGACCTGCCTAGGCTCAGTGAGCTGGGCTCTGCTGACTCCCCATGGGAGACCTTGATTTGGGGGATGTGGGGATGCGGGGTGGCTTGGGAGGGAGGGCTGGGAGATGGGAGGAGGGAGGAGGTGGGATCTGTGGGTGGTATGTAGAGTGAGTAGAAAATTTCTTAGTAAAGAAAAATGAACAAACAAACAAACAAGCAAAGAAACAAACAAACAAAAAATTCCTTCCTACTCGAGCTATGTAATTTGAGTGTACGTCTTAGGTAACCCTAACAGAAGATATGAGTTTTTCCTTCACTTTAAACATGCTTTAGAAGGTTGTGTTTCCTAATGTTTTCAATGATTTTGATAGCGATATTATAGAATGTGAATATTTTGTCTTTCTTGCCTTGTTCTTTTCGATCTAAAGGGACACAGAGGGAAGGAGTCCCTGAAGTGTGCTTTGATTACAGAAGGGAAAGAGCCAATAAAAGCAATGACAACTTCATTAAAAAGGCATCTGAGAAGAACAAAACTTCACATAGTATCATCTTATACTTTAAGTGGTATTTCCCTGCATTCTCTAAGAAACTCCAGAAGGAGGACAGTAAGCGCAGCAGATAGGCCCCGGCTCTTATCTAAAAAATAGTATCTCACATTAATAGGGCAATCTGGTAATCTGTTCCTTTGTTTTAACATCATGAACATTTAAACCTTTCAGATGGAGGGGGAGAGGGAGGGAGGAAGGGAGGGAGGGAGATATTAGAGGAGAGAAGCGGGAGGTGGAAGGGGGGAATCACAGGACAAAGAACTCTCATTGCTCTTAATATTTAAAATCTCTGCAGTTGTCTTGTGTATTATGAAAAACTACCAAGCTCCAGATTTATCTTTTGCCATTTTCCCCAAAGGAGGCTGACCCAAATCCAACCACAGAAGTGGAAAATTTCTCGCTAAGCTTTATCAAATGGCTCCTACCAAATCCAGCTTAAAATGAAAAGCTCCCCTACCAGAGGGAATATATGTGCCTTCAATAACTGAAATGTGTTTTTACTTTCTATTACAGAGGTCAAAAGGTTCCTAAACAAACCAAATTTATCAATTATTTAGAGCTGATTTCTTCTGAAGTGGTATTTCTGATATATTATTTGGGGGATAAATTCAATGTTCTAGGGCCACCAGCAGTATTTTATTCATAACAAATTTCCTCTAAACTGAATTTGCTGGGGCAACTTAATTTTTGCTATCGTGTTTGCACTGTAGAAATATCAGCGGAGCCGTTATGGTGCCTAACTAGTGGGCCTTTCAAAGAGAAAATTTCCACGTCGGCGTGCTTGTTCAGCACACTACCCGCCTTCTGTTTATTGCTTAAGAAATGAAGGGCCCTCCCTTCTACTGGAATTTAATTTTTCTTTCTCTCTTTTCCCCTTAGTTCCTGGAATGTTGTTTTCCAAAACTGTAGAGGCATTTTTAAAGTCAAAACCAGTATGCTCAACTGCATTATTGTCCTAGGAGTTGAAATAATAAAATGAGATTGATGTTAAGATTTTGATTGGGGAGATTTGTTTTTAAATGAAAGAGATGTAGGTTTGCACACTCACATGTATGTGCCAACAGGCATACACATATGCGTAGCCCGCGTGTGCGGATGCCTGGGCGCTCTGAGGGGGGTCAGAGTCTCTTCTCATGAATATTTCTGGAATCTTGATGGATCACTTGGTTTAGGACTCTATGTTAGGGAATTCAATAACAGTTTATAGACCAACTGCTTTTGATTCTTAACACAGTGCACAGCCCATGTAAATATTATGTTTATTATATACTAACTGAACATATATTGGGTTTCTGCCTGAAGTCTGCCATTTGGTGTATGCAGAAAACATTATAGCTTAGCTCCTAAACTCATTTGAAGCTGTGTTAACTGAAAGCGGCCATCCAGAAGCTGAATCTTTTCATCTTAAAAATAGCAGCCATCCCAGCTCTAAAGCAGTAGGTTTATTTATACTGGTGAGTGAGACACACCAAAATAATCAAGGCACTCTGTGGAATATCCCGTTTTAATGAAAGCAAATTTCATCACAGCAAAAGACCAAATTATATTTCCTTTATCAATATGAGTTTCTCTTTTATTGATGTTGATCTTGGTATTGGTTTTGTAAACTCAGAAGGGGACACAGGCTTTCCTTCTCCAATTCCCGTCAGCCCATTCGAGATGGAAATAATGGCAGTTAGGTTTTCGAGATGTCTGCTGATAAGGAAATGAAAAACGAAGGAGGATCGTGAACAGCCACCAGGACAGGCAAGCTGGGCAAACTCAGAGAGAGTCAGATGGCTGTGAGGTGGTCAGAGCTGAGCAACTTTGACCTCTGAATGACTGGCTACTTTCCAAGAAGTGCCTGGAAAGACTTCAGTGGGCCCTTTCCAGACTTGTACAGGTGTGTGGGGGCGAGTGGGTGGTCTCAGGGGCAACACCTTGGGGGGATGGGCTTCTCCAGCACACCTGAGATCTGTGTGAGTCTTTATGGAAGGCATGGTTCCAACCTCTCACCTGCATGCTTCATTCCTGGAATTGGTCCATGGTAGACTTGGCTGTGTACACTCCAACAGAGACACCGACTTTCCTTAGCTTGCTCGCCAACAACTCCAGCTTTACAGGGAGAGAGGATTCAAGTGTTCTGTGTTCTGTGCTGCTGGTGCCATTTTTATCACCCACTATTCACACTGCACAACAAGAAACTGGGTTGTATTGGTAACAGTTGTGGGGACATTGGGAGGTAGGGATGCTTTTATCAAATCAATTAGTTTACATTTTCTGCTCTATGAGGGCTGGGGTATTCTTTGATAACAGGTTTGGCTTTGGTGCACAGAACTTGTTCAACATAGGTCCTTTGATGGAGGGAGAAACCATTTGTTTGAACAGTGATTTTTACACAGAAAGCATGCATTGCTCTGGAAGTCAAAGGCCTCTGGGTTCCTGGCCAGAAAAGGAAACTTGACCCTATGCAGGAAGATTCTATTTTGGCTTTTTGACTCTGTTTATGTAAAATGGTCTCTTGAGAAGAGCAGTCTCTGTCAGTTACTGGAGCACCAGGGTCAGTATTTGATGAATTCTCTCTTGTGAATAATCAAGTGGTAACATGGGAAGGTTTCTTTTGTTTTTGATTGCTTCTGTTTTAGGAAGTAGACTTTGTAGCTGCACAGATATGTAACTTGGAATCCCATGGTGGGGAGCATGTGTGGGCACACACACACACACACACACACACACACACACACACACACACACATACACATAGGCACACACAGAGACACATATTTATACACATGAGCACATACACATACACACAAACACATGCATACATGCACACATATATGTACACATATGTGCATATAGACACACATGTACATGCACACACACACACACACAACACACACACACATGCATCCCACACACAATGACTTCAACTCAGAAGTGCTTGTATTTTCATGTCCTTCCTGTTCTTTTACTACAAATCATTAAATGGCTTGTCTTCTAAGCATCTCTAGATTGTTTATAATGCCTAATAAATATAAATGATAGACAAACAGTTGTTACACTGTGTTATTCAGGAAACGATAATAAGGAAAGGGGAGAGTCTGCATGTGTTAAGTGCACACACAACCATCCTAGGTTAAACTACAAAAGGTATGTCAGCAAAAGGGTAGATGGGAAACAGGAAACCAATAGCATTCTGGCTAGACTGAAGACCTCAGTTATCACTGTACTTCAGGTCCCCAGTTAGATAACTAGCGGGTACAGAATATAACCTCTGGAGCTTAGAAGAGGTGTCCAGGGCCTGAAATTATTTATTTATATCTACTCACCTGTCTGTCTGTCTATCTATCATCTATTATCTATCAATATGTATATCTATCATCTATCTATCTGTTTATCTATGTATCTATCACCTATTATCTATCATTTATCTATATGCCTCTCTCTTTCTCTAACTATCTATCATCTATCTATCTATCTATCTATCTATCTATCTATCTATCTATCCATCTATCCATCCATATCTATCTATCCATCTATCCACCATCTATCTATCTATCTATCTATCTATCTATCTATCTATCTATCTATCTATCTATCTAACATCTATCTGTCATCTACCATCTGCCTGTCTATCATCTGTCTATGTATGTATGTATGTATGTATGTATGTATGCATATATGTATCTGTCTATCTATCTATCACCTATCATCTATCATTAGTGGGGGGAGACTTTATTTCAGTCCACAATTCCAGGTTGCAGCCCCTCATTGCAAGGAAGTCCAGGTGTCAGGAACATGAAACAACTAGCTGCATCAGACTGACAGTTAAGAGCACAGGGGTGTGAATACACAGTGACTGCTCAGCTTTTTCTCTACTCTTTCACAACTCAGGATAGGGAATGATGATGCCCCCATTAGCCTGGATAGGTCAAGCCATGAATTTTGATGTCCTTAAAATCTCTTATGACCTGGGTGCCTTCTTTGCCCTTATGAGAATTCTCAGTACATAGGCCATCCGGGTGTTTCACTTGGTGACAGGAGCTGGCATGGTGACTATAAAGTAGCCTTCCACACCCATGGTCCTGTATGTCCAACCACATATGGCCCAAAGTGTCACCTACCAGCCACCCTATGAAGTTCAGCCTATAATGAGTGGGTCTAATAAACATGTATAGATTTTTTTCCCTTATCGTTTTTCCTTAAACATTGTAGTATAACAGCCACCATTTTTATAGCACAAAGAGTGTGTTAGCTATTATAAACAATCTATATATGTTTAAGGAGGCTATTTATAGGATATGATATGTGGATATAGGATAGGATACCATGTAATTTGATATAGGGACTTGAACACCCTTGGAACCTGGAATCCAAAGGTGGTCCTGGGAACTGTCCTCCACAGCTTCTGAGGGACCATTGTCAGGACACTTTCTCATATTAACTGCCTTTTGTGCCCATGGCTGATGGTCATGTGCAGAGAATGAGAAACCCCAGTGCCTTGGTGCTCTCCATAGTAGGGAAAGACATCCAGCCAATGCCTGCTTTTCTTGTTGCTTAGAAGGAAAAGCCACAGCACAGTGCAAACAAAGGACACACGAGGACTGAGGTTCACCTTGGGTCTGGCATCTGGAAGTGCAAATCTCTTGCTGGTCCTGAATTAGGGAAAGTGCAGCATCCAAGTAGAATACACCAGGCCCTCCCTTGCCACCGAGACTGGATGGGGGAGAGGCAGGGGAACTGAGCAGTACTTTTGAGCATTGTCCTTCTCAGGCAGTAGCTGTAACAGTGGCTTCTTCGATTACTGGCACCTCTGATTGAACATCCCTTGGAACTCCACTCCTATCCTCGCTTTAGAATTTTTAGCCAGCCTGCGATTGGAAGTGTAAAAGGTTATTTCCTAAAGTGAGTTTTTTTTCCTGGTTATTCAATTCTTATTATAGTATTTTACTATAACATTTTTATTCCGGGGAGGGATCAAGAGTTGCACCAATGAACTTGGCTAAACCATGCCATTTGCCAAGCTGGAAAAACAAAATCACACTCAAATTAGTTTTAAGAAAT